TCCATTAAAGACATCGAAGACACACCAGAGACACGTTAGAGTCATCAGAGACTCATTAGAGACAAAAGAGACATCGGAGACACACCAGAGACACGTTGGAGACACCAGAGACACATTAGAGACAAAAGAGACATTGGAGAGTCCATTAAAGACATCGAAGACACACCAGAGACACGTTAGAGTCATCAGAGACTCATTAGAGACATGGGAGACAAACCAGGGACACATTGAAGACATCAGAGACACATTAGAGACAAAAGAGACATCAGAGAGTCCATTAAAGACATCAAAGACACACCAGAGACACGTTGGAGACACCAGAGACACATTAGAGACATCAGAGAGACATGAGAGACATCAGAGAGTCATCATTTGAGACACCAGAGACACGTTGGCGACACCAGAGAGTCATCAGAGACCCATTAGAGACATTGGAGACACACCATAGACACGTTGGAGACACCAGAGAGACATGAGAGATATCAGAGAGTCATCATTGGAGACATACCACAGACACATTTGAGACACCAGAGACACATTAGAGACATCAAAGAGTCATCAGAGACACATTAGAGACATTGGAGACACACCAGAGACATGTTGGAGACACATTTGACATAAGAGACATCGGAGAGTCCATTGGAGACACAGAAGATACACCAGAGATAATTTGGTGAAACCAAAGACATATTAGAGACATCAGAGAGACTTGAGAGACATCAGAGAGTCATCAGGGACCCATAGAGACATCGGGGGCACAACAGAGACACCTTGGAATCAGCAGAGACACATTAAGAGACATCAGAGACACACCAGGGACACACTGGAGACTCCAGAGACAAATTAGAGACATCTGAGAGTCATCAAAGACACATTAGAGACATCAGAGACACACCAGAGACACGTTGGAGACACCAGAGACACATTAGAGACAGCAGACACACATCAGAGACAGGAGGACAGCATCTCCACACGCTCACCTGACTGGAATGGACAGAAGAGCCGCCGACTGCTGTTCAGAGAAACCTGAAAACATGCAGACGCATGAGAAACACAAATAGCTTTGAGTCACGCATTACTGTGTGTGTGTGTGTGTGTGTGAGTCTGACCTGCACACACATCTGAGGGTGTTTGTCCACTGCCGACACATCATACTCCTGATGAAAAAAATCAAAATAAGCATGAAATTCAAGCAGCAGATTCTGTATGAAATGCACTGATGATGATGATGAAGATGATCATCTAAACACACCAGGTTTGACCCCTGAAGGGTGCCGTTGGGGGCGGGGACACAGTGAGGGTCCTGGGCATTGATTCGCCAGCAGAGGGAGATGGAGGGATCGGATTGGTCAGAGGGACAGAGAGGCTTCCAAAGCAGAACAGAGCCATAGAGTTCAACAGAACTGGAGGACAGGACATCACCTCCATCTGCACACACACACACACACACACACACACACACACACACACACACACACACACACACACACACAGTTATCTGGCTATACTATATACTGGGATATTCTGTGGAGTTTGGGGAGAATGTACTCTTCACCATCCTGTTCAATTAGAATTCTTTTACTTTTTATTTCAGATTTCTCCAGCACATTTGTGATCATAACAGTGTTAATAACTCATCTCTAATAACTGATTTATTTCCTCTTCTCCATGATGACAGCACATAATATTAGACTAGATATTCTTCAAGACACTAGTGTTCAGCTTACAGTGACATGTAAAGGCTTCACTAGGGTAATTAGGGTAAAGTTAGAGTAATTAGGCAAGTCATTGTATAACAGTGGTTTGTTCTGGAGACAATCCAACACTAATATTGCTGAAGGGGCCAATAATATTGAGCTTAACATGACTTTTAAAACTATTAAAATCTGCTTTTATTGTAGCTGAAATAAAACAAATCAGACTTTCTCCAGAATACTGAGAACATTTCCTCAATCTCTTCAGCATCATTTGGAAAATACTGGATGAAAAATAAATATTGCACAGGGGGGTGAACAATTCTGCACACTATGCTTTCCCTTAAGAAAAACACACGTAATCATTAGAATCTATCATTTGGGCAAGTGTTTAATTTAAAATTATAGATTAATTAGATTAAATGTGCTAAATTAAGACACATAATTTTGCATGCTGACTGTGTTTCAGAGCTGGTTTGGCCTGTTGTATACTGAAGACTGCATATTAAAGGATCATTTCACCCAGAAATTAAAGACCTGTCATCATCAACTCATCCTCCAAACCTGTTTCAGGCTCTTTCTTTTCATTTTTGTCCAAAATATCACCCAAAATGCCAATTCTGTCATGGTTTACTCGCCGTTTACTTGTTCCAAACATTTATGATTTCCTTTTTTCTGTTGAACACTAAGGAAGATATTTTGAAGAATGCTGGAAACCGGTCACCATTGACTTTCACACTATTTGTTTTTCCTACTAAGGAAGTCAATGGTTACAGGTTTTCAGCATTCTTCTAAATATCTTCTTT